CTCCTCAGTCTTTGATATGGCCCTAATAGCCTTTGACTACTTTTGGAATCAAATTATTCAAGTTGAATATGTTATGATACATCTACACAATGGAGTACTATACTGAAATGATAAATATCTATCTCTATAAACTAGTATTGAGTGATCTCTAGGATTAAGTGAAAAAGGGTGGAAAAAAGTATGCTACTATTTAAGAAAAGGGCAGATATATACATAATTAATTTAAAAATGAATCATAAAAAGTATTTAAGTCATTACTCATCGAGCAGGAAGGGATTAGAGAGGAGAATACAGATTTTCAGAGTAAAGGAAAAGTTAGATATACGATCAAAGAGGTTAAATAAAACCTTGACTTATTGAATTTGAATTGGAAGTATCAATACAAGTTCATGACATATTTTATTAAAAAAACAAAAAGCTAAACAAAACAAAGTCATATTAACAGTTCTGTCCATACAACAGGTATAGAAACAATAGAACTCATTAACAATTAGCATGACAAACATTCAGATTATGGTCGTTAAATATCATTTCCTACTAAAGGATCCAGGGTGCTTTGGATAAATGGCTTATTATGCGTATGGGGTAATAAATATACAAAATGAGCCTGGAAAGCAATCAAAGACTATTAGGGCCGTTTCAAAAAGACTCAGGAGTTAACCTGAATAAGTTCCTATTGGCCTAAAATAAAACAATTTGAGCACTAATAGTGACAGTAACTGCAAATGTATTGCAACTCACCAAATTTAAGTCCCTGGATCCATAAGGATAGCTGTTCACTTTTAAGGGTTTTTCTTTTTTTTAATCCATCAGGATTTTTTAAAATAGTATAAGGTAGTGATCTAATTTTATTTTCCATTAGAATAACCATTCATTCAGCATTACTTTCATTAATCCTTTTCTCACTAATATGCAATAACAATGTCATGTATCAAGTTCCTATATACCTATATATGGGTCTCTATTTTTGAGCTCTTTGTCTTTTTCCTTTAATTGCCCATCCTTGTTCATTTAATAATACAAGACTGTCTTGATTACTATGGCTTTTGTATATAACTTGTTACCTGGTAGACAAGTTCTTTCAACTTTATTTTTCTTCAAAATTATCTTGGATCTTGTAAATATTTTTTCTAGATAAATATGAATAATATTAGAATAGCGACCTCAGCATACATATATAGCCTATTTTTAAAGATTACCAGCAACTCTACACCGACAATATAAGAAAAAAAAAATACTAAAACCGGAATAAATGGGTAACTAATTAACTGGATAAATTACACTAGAGTACAAGGTTATAGAAGATTTAAAGTTATAAGGTACTACTTATTATACCTGAATGATATTACATTCTTTTTTGGGAAAAATATCTAATGCTTTTGAGTTTTTGAAATGCAAAATTTCCCCTACACTGAAGTATATTCATTATCTTACTTTTTTGCTCAGGACAAGAACTGAAAAAGAGAAATAACCTTGAATTCAGAATGAACGTTCTTGCTATATGTATTTTCCCACATATATTAGGAATGTTCTGTAACTTTCCGAGAAATAGTGACTTGAACTAAATACTGAACTACTACCAAGACTCATGTGCATTTTTGGAAGTTTTTAGTCATTGGGAGCCATGGCATTTTTTTTCTTCTTCTGTATATCACAAACAGCTACAAATACTTTGACTAGTAACATTCAACAGAAGATCTCCTGTTCTGTGACTGACTGGCAGGCAGAAATGACACCGACAGGAAATGGGAAATGGTTCAGGGTCTTGGAATTCCCCTGGCTGCTTAATTAAGTGGCTTATTTGGAAGTTTTTAAAATGTTTGCCCCCTGGAGTTCCCCAGAGAGAATCAAGCATCTGATTTCATTGGCAAAGGGTGTCTTTACAGAATGTAAATTGAAAAATTCGTTCATTGCAATACAGTATTTACCACATGTCATTGTGTCTGCGGCACTACCAGAGCAGATGGTGGCCTAAAGGTCCATGATCAGTAAAGCAAAGGATTTTTATTTACAAATTTTCCTTCACTTAACTATTTAAAATTTTTTTGTAAGTGGGCTCCTCTGTGGTTCACGTACAATTGTGTTTGTGTGTACTCGCACACTAACGTAAGTATTGCATTTTATTCAAACATTCAGAAAATCCTGGGAGTGAAGCTTGGCCTGAAATACCCTTTACGTTGCTAGCGATGTGCATCTGAAGTAAGGACACTCTTCGTTATTGTGTATGTCTCCAGAACCGAAAAACAAAAGATACACTGGTTGATTAGAAAATACATCAAGTCTTCAAAATTAATCTTCTGATGCTGTCCTACTTTCCAACGCTTCGTTTTGGATTTGCACCGCCAGCTGTGGAACGTTGACACGACGTAGGAGCGCGCTGAGAAAAACGGTTACAACTGTTTACCTAATTGAAGCAAAAAATGCCACCAGAATGACTTCATCCTCAAACGCGGTCATTTCGGACGAGCGGAGGCCGCACACCACAGGAGTCTTGCCAGGGGCTGGACCATAACTCTGAGGTGACGCAGGGGAGGCGCAAAACAATCGGCGCCAGGGCGTTTCCGCAGGGTTTCCCAAGATTCAAACGCAACGGCTCATGGTTGGCAGCGTCCTCTCTCAAGAGAATGCTAGGGACAGACAGGGAAATGTCAATGGTGCACAAACCGCGGGGTTAAAAAACGAAACACCGAGTTGATGCCGATAGTGCGCCTCTCCCCACGTGACGCCCGCGCGGCTCCGGGTGGGCGCCCACGCCGCGTTGGGCCTCCCCGGGCCTCCCGGCGTCTCCCCACAGCAGAACGCGCGCCCGATTCCGCTTTCCGGCCGCAGACTCCCGGGCGCCCTCGCGCTGCGGTTGACGCGGGTCCCCGGCCGGGCGCGCTGACGTCACTGTGCGTCGGCGCGGCTTCGGCTGGGGCTGGGGGCTCCGGGAGTGCCGGAGCAGAGCCTCACCGGCCGCTTCTCCTGTGGGCGCCCCGGCTCCCCCGGTTTGAGGAGGTCTCCAGGCAGCCGTGCAGCTTCCGTGTTTGCTGCGCCGGCTCTGCGGTGAGTGCTGCTCCTTCCGGGCCCGCGCGGCGCGAGGCGGGCTGGGACGCTGGGACCCGCGGGGGTCCCCTCCCTGAGGCTGTGGCCGGGCAAGGAAGGACAGGGCCTGGGGTCCTTCGGTCGAGTGTCGCCAGGGGCTCTCTGCTTTCTACTCTCGCGGAGGTTTTTATTTAATTAGGAAGCCCCAATTTCAAGACTTGCAATCGAAAGTGATTTTTTAAAAAATGACTTGTTTTCAAGCCTACTCTGGCCGCTGCCCACTTTTCTGGCCTTTGGACTATGACCAGGATATTTTTTCTCTTGGAGTTTTTGCAAGGTTTAAAACTCAGTCCTCGGCATTCCTTTAATATATTGGGAACATTTCTGTGGTTGTAGGATCTCATATTTCAGAGAGTTCCAACTGCGCTCTGTCGCTTTAGTAGTCGTCTATTGTGTGTAGTGGGAAATAACTCTGGGAAATTATTAGATAAGTCCCATATAGTTTCTCGTCTTTTCCCTTCCAGTTTATCCCCTGCCCAGCTACAGATTGCATAAAGAGAGCAAAATTAACAGTACGGTATTTATAGATAAAAATCTATAATTTAAAAATACAAGACCCGGTGTAATTAAAACAATCATGCAGGTGGTCATTATTACCAGGGCCACTGTTTCACAAGCCTTTGCTTTATGTGTTGTTTTCGAATTGCTTTCAGTGGTTGTTGCTTTGGAATTGTGAGGGAATGGTAGAGTTTAAGGGTTTATATTGATAAGTCCTGGTGCATTTTACAGTAGTTTGCCTAGTCCTGGAGAGACTTGACGTTAAAAAATGATGTTGCTGTATTGTTGCTGACTGGGCGTAGTGGAGGCTCTTTTTTTTTTTTTTTTCTTTTTCTTTCTTTTTTTTCTTTCTTTTTTTTTTTTTCTTTTTTTTTTTAAAAACCATTGTCCCTCCAGCAAAATGCTAGAGATACCTTTAAATCAGAAGAGGGTAGGAGACCAAGGACCAAATGTTTTCCTCTGTGAAAGTGTCCATCTGTCTTTAAAGTTGTGCATTTTAAAGACATGTATAGTTAGTGTTATGGGAGTATCTTGCATTTTTTATTTTAATTAAAAGCTTTTCCAGGTAGAAAGTTTTGGTGATAAAGTGCTGAAATTAAGATGTATTATCTAAAGTGTAAATCATTTGTAGACTTTACTGAATAAATTGAATAGTCTGTAAGTTATATTTGCCATGCAAATACAATTTTCTAAAATACCTTTTATTCTTTCTTTTCAGATTTACAGCCCTGAAGAGTCTTTTTCCCCTCCTATTTTTCCCCCTGCAGTAATAAATCCCATTATGGAGACACTGCAACTTTATAAAGGGATATAGCTTGAACTCTGTGGAGTGTAATTTTGTGTATGAATTATATCTTTAAAATATTGAAGAGTTTTCAGAAAGAAGGCTAGGAGAGTTAATTACTGGATCCTTATGCTAAGCAGTAATTCTGTTGGTAATACAATGTTTTGATAGGAATTTTTGATAACACTAGAAAGGACAACCTGTATCTTTTGATAAATTTGATTCATCTTTAATTATAACATGACTGATATTTGAGCTGAATGGTCCTTAAATGTAGAACAGGTTATTTAATTTTTAAATGCAGTGTAAAAGTGTGTGCTGTGGAAATTTTATGGTTATTCAGTTGATTGAGTATAATAAAGTGGTATACAAAGTTAGGAAGACTAAATGTTGCTGCAGGAAATGGAAACAAATATAGATAATATTTAACAAGGATGAAAGAGTATACAGTTTGTGAACTTCAAGCAAAATTAATTTGACATCATACACACTATAACAGGCAGAGGCTCAACAAAGGTTGTGGGTGTTCACTTCCCCAAAAGTTGTTAACCAAAGCTAATATAATCCACTTAACTAAATACTATGACGATATGCTATATGAAATTAGCTTTTAGATAGTGTGACTATATGAAGACTTTAATTACTTTTGTTTACTAGAATAAAATGAGATGGGGGGGATGTGTTAAAGTGTTTTTAGGGAAAGAAGGCTGCATATAATTTTTTACTCTTGTGGCATAATCAGTACTTGGCCTGATATATATCCAGGCCTCATAGCTTATAACCCAAAGTAAATTAAAGGCATAATTTGGTATTCTATAGTTGTTTAGAATTTTGAGAATATAAACCTCCTTGAAAAATAAAGCGTTTTAACATATTTTCAGAAGTGTATCAACTTTTTTAGGCTTTTAGGTTAGTTTTATGCCAAATTATGAGTGAATAGCACTTGAATTATCTAAAAGAGTTTATTATAATCCCTAAGAGGTCTAAGTAGTGTCTTGGTAATTGAGGAGAGATTTTCATTCTACCTAAGTGTAAACTCATATAAATCCGGTGAAGAAGGTATAGTGAATTCTATATAAGTAAGAGTCTATAATTTGATTCCTTTTTTGTGGTAAAAATCTAATTTAGCGTGAAGAGATGGGAAATTTCATGTGAAGGTTTTAGCCATCAAACAGTGCTATCACCTACTCATGCAAAAAACTACCTTTCAAAGACTTGTTCCAGGTCCCTCATATCAAAAAATTAAGAGTATAATGGAAGATAGCCCGATCTTGTCAAATTGGACAAATGGCAACAAACAAAAAATGAAGTATGACTTTTCATGTGAACTCTATAGAATGTCTACATATTCAACTTTCCCTGCTGGTGTTCCTGTCTCAGAAAGGAGTCTTGCTCGTGCTGGTTTTTATTACACAGGTGTGAATGACAAGGTCAAATGCTTCTGTTGTGGTCTGATGCTGGATAACTGGAAACAAGGAGACAATCCTATTGAAAAGCATAAACAGCTATATCCTAGCTGTAGCTTTATTCAGAATCTGGTTTCATCTAGCGTGGAATCCACCTCTAAGAATACTTCTCCGATGAGAAACAGTTTTGCACATTCATTATCTCCCACTATGGAACATAGTGGCTCATTCAGTGGTTCTTATTCCAACCTTTCATCAAACCCTCTTAATTCTAGAGCAGTTGAAGACTTCTCTCCATTGAGGACTAACCCCTACAGTTATGCAATGAGTACGGAAGAGGCCAGATTTCTTACTTACCATATGTGGCCATTAACCTTTTTATCACCATCAGAATTGGCAAGAGCTGGTTTTTATTATATAGGACCCGGAGATAGGGTAGCCTGCTTTGCTTGTGGTGGAAAGCTAAGTAACTGGGAACCAAAGGATGATGCCATGTCAGAACACCGGAGACATTTTCCCAACTGTCCGTTTTTGGAAAATTCTCTAGAAACGCTGAGGTATAGCATTTCAAATCTGAGCATGCAGACACATGCAGCTCGAATGAGAACATTTATGTACTGGCCATCTATTGTTCCAGTTCGGCCTGAGCAGCTTGCAAGTGCTGGTTTTTATTATGTGGGTAAGGAACTAATTAATAGCTATACATTTTATCTAGTTTGTTTTGATTTACATGTTAAAACATATGTTCATGCAATTTTTGGTCATTTTTCCCCTCCTTTAGGTCGCAATGACGATGTCAAATGCTTTTGTTGTGATGGTGGCTTGAGGTGTTGGGAATCTGGAGATGATCCGTGGGTAGAACATGCCAAGTGGTTTCCAAGGTAATTGTTCTGAAAAGGTATTTCTGTACAGACCTCTGTGCTTAAAAGAAGTAGGCATGCTTACATGATTGTCTACCTTTAAATCATAACAAAGCCTCTTTTATACCATTGGAGAATTAGCCTTCTAAAAGACCAAATTTTCACTTTGATTATTTTATTGAAAAATGTTCTGCAGTCTTCTGTGTGCTGTTATTCTTTTGTAAGCCATGCACATAAGATATAATTTAACTTATTCTTGTTGACTTATTTACAATTACGGTCCTACATTTCATTTATTTTCAATCTTGCTTTAAAGAGGATGTGAGGATTACAAAGATACATAAAATAGAACAAAAAGAACATTAATTGGAGAAAAGTATGAAGAAAAGGAAAACAAGAAGGGGCATAAAGTGGATGTAGGAATAAGGCAGATATAAAAATACATATAATAAGGCTGGGTGTGGTGGCTCACACCTGTAATCCCAGCACTTTGGGAGGCTGAGGTGGGAGGATGGCTTGAGGCCAGGAGTTTGAGGTTGCAGTGAGCTATATCTCCAGCGTAGGCAACAAAGCAAGACCCTGTCTCTAAAAAATAAAATAAAAATGCACATAATAAAATCCTATCTGGCTGCTAATTTTAATTATAATTGTAAATTGTTTTTTCTGTACAATTTTATCTTTTTATGATCACTTAACCACCTTTTAGGCACTCTGTCTCTGGTAGTGTCTCATATTTTTATTAAAGCCTAGAAGGAATTTAGGGGCAGTGTTGTTAGTGGAAATAGAATTAGAGATTAATTCTGTCTTTGTAATTGAGTAGCTATGTGAACTTAGACCTCATTTGTGAAATGAGGAGGGGTTGAACTGGATAATTTTTTGTGTAGTGATAAAATATACATAACATAAAATTTACCATGTTAGTCATTTTTAAGAGTATAGTTCTGTGGCATTTAGTACATTCATATTCTGTGGTAATCATCACCAGCCATCTCCAGAAACTTTTCATCTTCTGAAACTAAAACTCCGTATCCATATCCATTAAATACTAACTCCCTATTACCCCTCCTCCCACCTCCTGGCAACCACCATTCTACTTTCAGTCTCTATGAATTTGACTACTCTAGATACCACATAAGTGAAATCATGTAGCATAGATAATGTTTTGACCTGTGAGTGCCTTTCACAATAGTAAAGAATCTCTTGAATCCCTTCAGGAAATTAAAAGATCTTTTAGTCATTTAGTATGATATATGATGAAAAACTTTGAAGTAACAGATATTTTATTTTAGATCAGAACATTGTTATATTTTAAAATTATATTATTAATATTTATGATATATCAAGATAATTTTTTTTTGGAGGAGAAGGAAAGAGGAGTTTTTTAATTTGCCAGCAAATGAGGAGGTTGGCAGACTCCCATCTCAAAGTACCAACGTACTCTTAAGATAAATTTTGACTTGTTTTACTCTGAAAAGTGACATGTTTTATTTGCTTTAAATTATGTAAGAAAAAAGCATGTTTTGTCAGAATTTTAAGTGAATTATGCTGGGCTCTATGAGATTGTATATATGTAATTTAAAATTTAACTGATGTTGTGGTGTCAGAGACAAAAACAGCTTCCAAATTCCAATGTTAGAATTGCTACATGTTGTGCTTTATGAAACAAAATCATTATTTTTGTAAATTGTGTTTTGTTTTAAATGGTTAAATAAGGGAGAAGACTTAAGGGTGTTTTTTGTAAATACTTCTCTGAAAACAACAAATTCCAGTTGTGAATAAGCTTTAATCTCAGCAAATGAAAAAGTAAATGGAGAATTGTTATTACTGTATTTTAACACAGTTAATTTATTCATTTATCAAGTATTTGGGTGCCTACTTGGTACTATTTTTAGATGCTGGGGATATAACAGTGAACAAGACAGAGAAAAATCTTCATCCTCATGAAGTTTATTGGAGAAGAGGGAAATACGGGGTAGGCAGAGTTCATTATACAGTCGTCCCTTGGTATCTGTGGAGGATTGGTTCCAGGATCCCTCGAGGATACCAAAATCCTCGGATGTTCAAGTCCCTTATATAAAATGGTATGGTAAGCCAGGTGTGGTGGCACATGACTATAGCCTCAGCTACACAGGAGGCTGAGGTGGGAGGATCACTTGAGCCCACGAGTTCAAGGCTGCAGTGTCCTATGGTCAGGCCTGTGAGCAGCCACTGCACTGCAGCCTGGGCAACCTAGCGAGACCTTGTCTCTAAAAAAAAAAAAGGACTGGATGCAGTGGCTCATTCCTGTAATCCCAGAGCTTTGGGAGACAGAGGTGGAAGGATCACTTGAGCCCAGGAGTTCAAGACCAGCCTGGGCAACATAGTGAGACTCTGTCTCTATAAAATTTTTGAAATATTAGCCAGGTGTGGTGGCATTTGCCTGTAGTCCCAGTTACTTGGGAGACTGAGGCTGGAGGATTGCTTGAGCCCAGAGTTCCATCCTGGGCAATAGAGCAAGACCCTGTCTATAAAAAAAATTCAAAAATAAAAAAATAAAATAGCATAGATTTGCATATAACCTACATACATCCTCCTGTGTACTTTAAATTATCTCTAGATTACTTATAATACCTAATACAGTGTAAATTAATTTGTATTTTTATTGGTATATTATTTTTTATTTTTATTTTTTAATATTTTCCATTTGAGGTTGGTTGAATCCACAGGCGTGGAACCCACAGATACAGGGGGCTACTGTACTTCCCATCTTTAACCATTGTGAATATAAATTGTCAAAGAATAAAAATAATTTAAAATTATATAAAGATTGAGCATACAATGACAAGTGGCTTTGTCATCTAGTTAATAAACTTGAGTCTTGAGCATGCTTATGCAATCTCTACTAACTTCTGTACATGATTATTATATTTGACCCTCTCAAAGTATTAAGGAATAATTTTATTTTTTGATTTCTTTTTAAAGTTAGGTTTATTGAGGTATAATTTACATAGAATTCTCTTCTGTGAGTTTTGACGCATACAGTCATGTAACCACTACCACAATTAAGATACAGAACGTTTCCATCACACCACAAAGTTCCCTCATGCCCCTTTATAGCCACTCTCTCCTCTTATCCCCAGTCCTAGCAACCACTGATTTCCTGTTTGTTTCCATAGTTTTGCCTTTTTCAGATGTCACGTAAATGGAATTAATCATACAGGATATAGCCTGAGTCTGACTTATTTCACTTGGCATAGTACATTTGAGATTCATCCATGTTGCAGTGTGTATCAGTAGTTTGATCTTTTTTGTTGCTGAGTAATATCCCATTAGGTATTGGTGTTCCATACCACAATTTGTTTACCCATTCACCAGTTAAAGAACACTTGGATTGCTTCCAGTTTGGAGCAATAATAAAGCCACTCCAAATATTTGTGAACATGTATGAACATGTTTTCACTTCTCTTGGGTAAATATTTAGGAGTGAGTGGGTTGTATGGCAGGTGTTGGTTTTAACTTCATAAAAAACTACCAAATTGTTTTCTGAAGAGGCTGTACCCATTTTGAATTTCCACTGGCAATGTATGTGACTTCCAGGTGTTCTACATCCTTAATAACACTTGGTTGTTAAGTCTTTCTTTTTTTTTTTTTTTTTTTTGAGAGACAGTCTCGCTCTGTTGCCAGGGCTAGAGTGCAGTGGCCTCATCATGGCTCACTGCAACCTCAAACTCATGGGCTCAGGCGTGTGCCACCACACCAGGCTAATTTTCTTTTTTTTGTAGAGATGGAGTCTTGCTCTTTCTTAGGCTGGCCTCAAGCAATCGTCCTGACTTGGCCTCCCAAAGTGCTAGGATTACAGGCGTGAGTTACTGCACCTAGCCCATCTCAATCTTTTTTATGTTAGCCATTCTAATAGGTGTGTAGTAGTAGTAGTATCTTGTGGTTTTAATTAGTATTTCACTAATGACTAATGATGTTGAACATCTGATGTGCTTATTTGCCATCTGTATATCTTTGGTAAGGTGTTCAAATCTTTTGCCTATTGAAAATGTTTAAGTTTTGAGAGTTAATATATTCTGATAAAACTCCTTTATCAGATGTATTTTACAAACTTTGTTTTTTCAGCTGTATTGAAGTATAATTGACAAAAAAAATTGTATGTGTTTGAAGTTCACTACGTATATACATTGTGAAATGATTAGCACAATCAAATTAACACATCCATCACCTTACATACTAACTTTTTTTTTTTTGGCTAGAACACTTAAAAAATACTGTGTTAGTAAATTTCGAGTATCCAACACAGTATTATTAACTATAGTCACCATGCTGTACATTAGATCCTCAGAACTTACTCATCTTTTAACTGAAACTTTGTACCCATTGACCAACATCTCCCCATTTTACCTACCCACTAATGCCTGGCACCCAGTATTCTCTGTTTCTATAAGTTTGACTTTTTTTTTTTTTTCTTTTTAAGATTCCATATATAAGTAATACCCTACAGTATAGTCATCCTTTATATACTTGGGGGATTGGTTCCAGGACCCCATGTATACCAATATTTGTGCATAGTCAAGTCCCACAGTTGGCCCCGCAGAACCTGTGAATCTAAAAAAGTTGGTCCTCCATATACATGGGTTTTGCATCCCACAAATACTGCATTTTTCATCTGCATTTGGTTGAAAAAATCTGCATATAAATGGACTTGCACAGTTCAAACCCATGTTGTTCAAGGATCAACTGTATTTGTCTTTCTGTCTGGCTTGTTTCACTTAGGATAATGCTCTCCATTTCATTCATGTTGTCACAAATGGCAGGATTTTCTTTGTTATGGCTGAGTAATACTCCATTGTGTGTCTGTACCACATTTTTGTTGTCCATTCATCCATCAGTGAACATTTAGGTGGTTTACCATATCTTGGCTATTGTCAATAAAGTTGCTTGAACATGGGAGTTAGAGATATCTCTTTGAAATACTGATTTCATTTCCTTCAGATATCTACACAGAAGAGAGATTCCTGGTTCATATGCTAGTTCCA